GAGGTTGCTGTGAGCTGTGATGCCATGGCCCTCTACGAAGGGTGACATAGTGAGACTCTGTCTCAAAATGTAATAATAATAAATGTATTTCTGAATTTTGTAACTATTTATATAAAAAGTTTTGCCTAAGTGACAATGAACATGAATTTGTTTTTTTTTTCTCAGTGATTGACATTTATTTTTACTTTCATCATTACAGATTAATATCAGCAAGGGATGTGGTTACCAGAACAGGATACTCATTGGCTTTGGGGTCCCTAAACAGGTATTTAGGAGGAATAAGTTCTTCTCAACACTTGAATTCTTGTATTGGAATCCTTTATGCTTTGTCTCAGGATAACACATCTCCTGATGTGCAGGTGAGTACCTCATGTGCTACTTTCTTTGAAATTCATGATTTATAGATTATAATATGATAGCTGGGACTATAGGCATGCACCAACACACCCAACTAACTTTTTTTTATTTTCCAGTTTTTTGCCGGGGGCTGGGTTTGAACCCACCACCTCCAGCATATGGGGCCCGTGCCCTACTCCTTTGAGCCACAGGCGCTGCCTCACACACCCAGCTAATTTTTAAAAAATTTTTTGTGGTGGATCACACCTGTAATCATAGCACTCTGGGTGTGTGCCTTTGGCTCAGTGGGTAGGGCACCAGCCCCATATACCGAGGGTGGTGGGTTCAAACCCGCCCCACCACACTGCAACAAAAAATAGCCAGGCATTGTGGTGGGCACCTGTGGTCCCAGCTATTTGGGAAGCTGAGGCAAGAGAATCTCCTAAGCCCAGGAGTTGGAGGTTGTTGTGAGCTGTGATGCCACAGCACTCTAATGAGGACGAAAAGTAGGACCCTGTCCCTAAAACAGACAAACAAACAAAAATTACTGAGAGGCCGAAGTGGGCAGATCGCTTGAGCAGAAGCGAGACCTCATCTCTACTAAAAATAGAAAAACTAAGGCAAGAAAATTGCTTGAGCCCAAGAGTTGGAGGTTGCTGTGAGCTGATGCCACAGCACTCTACCCAGGGCGACAGCTTGAGACTCTGTCACAAAAAAAAAATTTGTGCCCAGCTGATTGTTTCTTCTTTATTTATTTATTTAATGTATTTTTTTCTTTTCTTCTCTTTTTTCTTTCTTTTTTTTTTTCCTGAGGTAGAATCTTGCTCTGTCTCCCAGGCTAGCGTGGAGTGGCATCATCATAGCTCACTACACCCTTCCAATGTCATCAGTTCTGAGTTTTCTTGGTTGATGTCTTTCACCTAACAGATATGAGCTCATTTTTGTAGTATTTAAGATACTATAAGTTTCTTTTCTTTTTCTTTTTCTTTTTTTTTTTGTGATAGAGTCTCAAAAATCTCATCATCTTTTAGATGCCCTGGGTAGAATACCGTGGCATCATAGCTCACAGCATCCTCAGACTCTTGGGCTCAAGCAGTCGTCTTGCTTCAGCTTCCCAAGTAGCTGGGAATACAGGCGCCCACCACAACACCTATGTAGTTTTTTCTATTTTGGTAGAGACATTTTGGTCTTTTGGTCTTGCTCTTGCTCAGGTTGGTCTTGAACTCCTAAGCTCAAGCAATCCACCTGCCTTGGCCTCCCAGAGTGCTAGGATTAATAGGTGTGAGCCACTACACCCAGCCTGTAAGTTTTCTTATACATCCATTGATAAAAGGGATAAAATATTTTCAGTTCATTTCCTGATGGAAGAACTTCTTATTTACTTCCTGTTAGGGAACATTCAAACATTTACAAAAGTAGAATGTGTACTATTATGACCATATTGTACGTATCACCTACCTTTAGTTATTATCAGTATATGGCCAGGCTTGTTTCATTTTAACCAGAGTATATATATATATATATACAGCATAACCTCTGTAAATTGACCACCGAAGGGACTACAACAAACTGGTCAACAAACTGACCATTGAGAGGTGGTCAATATGAAAAACTAGATCTGCTGTACTGATACATACATGTGGTACATGTCCAGTTCATGAAAATTAGGTCAACT